AATAACAAGAAAAGATAAACAACTTTAAATTAAATATTAATAAGTAAGTAAAAAAAGTAAGTAAGTAAAAATAAGAAGTAAAAATCAAACAAAAGGCACCAAATGCAATATAAAATTTCGAAAAAAATTTTTCAAAATTAAAACCAAGTAAACCCAGATTTTTGATGAGTATGAAAAATACATTTTTTCTTCTTCAAAATCGTTTCCCTTTAATCCAACAAAGACAAGCAAAACAGCAGAAATTTAAAGGATTTGGAGCAAGGAGTTTCAGGAATTTAGATATATTCTTTATTTCAGATACATCTAAATAAATTACTAGAAATCAGACACACTACTTATTTTAATTAAAAAGAAATACAGTTTGTCAAAAATGTTTTGAAAAACATCTGATTATTTTTAAAATAAAAAAAATCGCTCTTTAAATTTCTGCTCTTTAATTAATTGAAATGACAAAAGTAACATAAAAATCAAACAAAAAAATAAAAGCTTTCGTGGAAAGATTTTGTCCCGTTTAATTTATTTTTGTATTAATCTTCTTGATTTAATTTTTAAGAAAACTAAGATGAAATCAAAATCAAATTATTTTGTTTCTGGATAAAATGTTTTTCACAAGATTGGCAGTGGATCAAACATTATTTTCATAGCGTTTATTTCGTATTTTTTTTTTTGGTGAATTGTCAAATAAATATTGTTTTCACATCTTCGCGTTCCAGTTTTTCAGTGTTGCTAACTTAATTTCAGTCACAGGCCACTTAATTAAACGCAAACTTATATAAAGAAATCTCTTTACAGTTTTTCGAAACAAAATTAATCTTGCAAGGACTGAAAATTATAATTTGGCTTGAAATAATTATTTCAGTGAAACCAAATCATCACACTTATTTTTCATAATTACTTCTTACTCCCAATGATTAAAATTTGAAAAAAATGTCTCTGAATCGAGATTTTTTCAATTTTTTTACATAAATAGCATTACATGGTCCCAAATTATAAATATAATGATTGTAAAAAAATATACCTATATGTAAATACAACAAATTGTTTAGTATACCAAATGAACAAATTTTATCCGTAAAACAAAATCTTTGTTTTTTGACGTCTATCGTTATTTTTAGAAAAAAAAAGTATCAAAAAACACGTCTTTTAATTCTGTAATTTTTTTGAGAAATATAATTTGCAATTTTTCAGTTAAATAAAAAAAAACAAAAAACGCAAACAAAAATGCCTTTCAAAATAGAAATTAAAAAAAAAAAAACAATTGAAACTGGTTTCGAAATAAACCTAAAATTTCTGTGTTAATATTATCATGGCTTTCAAAATGTTTTTTTAACAATCAGAAGCTTATTAATAATAATTAATCCTGTATTAATTATTCTTTTGTAATTTTTATTTTGACATGTCAACCCACCATAAAATATACAAATTGCCCATTTGCAGTCCCAAACTCCACTCAAAGCGCCCATTTATCACCCATCATCCCAAGCAACAGTTCAAAACATTTCCTAGAACCCCAACAAAATCCCGTGATGGTATATCATAAATACATCTTTTCATCACAACTGACTACTTGAATTTCCCATTTCTCCACCGTACGGTTAAAAATTTCTCGCTCTGCATGCCCCAACAAATAGCCCCCATAAAACCCCAATTCCACCCCTCGCAACATTCAATAATCGGGGAAATAAAAGACATGTTGCATGGCCGGCATTGGGGGAGTTGGTCGACCAATGCCAAGGCGTGGATTAGTTCCGGGCGGGGCTTCGTCTACTATATACTTGAAAAGTTTTCAGCTAAATTATCGGGGATTTTTTACGAAGGGGCAGGACGAAGCCAATTTAAAAATTTACACCGAGACGGAGGCTTAATGATGAGGTTGTTGTTTTTTGGACGATTATCGGACACGAAGTCAGCACTTTTCGACACGAGGAGAAAAATTCAACTTGGGTTAATTTAATCAAAAGAGGAGGAAGGAATAAGGCGGATTAGTGGACCAGTTTTTAAGAATTGTTGAAGGAAGACAATTATCTTATGTTTTTGTTAAGTTTATAAAGACAATAATTAAAAAAATAGAGATTAGATGAAAATATTCAAAAAAAAATTAAATTCTTATAAATCGTTGATTTTACAATAAAAATAACTACATCAACGTGTTTCTGACTTATCTAATATATAAAACTACGTAGATAGGTATTAGAATAAGTGGCCTATGACTCCGAGATGGCAACATTGCAAGTCTTTGAAATTCATTTCATCCCAAAAAATTACAGTGTTGCGTTTACAAAAATTGAAGGATTCCCACAGAAATCAATGAGAAAAAATTAAGAGAAATTCTTTTGCAAACATTTTGTAATTCATTACATTAATAATAAAGTTAAAATCATTATGTATTAAAAAAACTAAAATTCCAACACAAATTAAAAAGTATTCGTCAGACAAAAAAGAACATAAAATAAAATAATAACAATAATAGATAAACAACTTTAAATTAAATATTCAAAAATAATAAGTAAGTATAAAAATAAAAAGTACAAAATCAAACAAAAAGCACTAAACGCAATATTTTTTTTTATTAATTAATTGAAATGAAAAAAAGTAACATAAAAATCAAACAAAAAAAATTCTTATAAATTGTTGATTTTACAATAAAACTAACCACATCAACGTGTTTCAGACTTATCCAATGTATAAAATTACGTAGGTAGGTATTAAAATAAGTAAATAAAAATTAAAAAAAAAAGTTAAAATAAGAAGATCATATAAATTTTTAAAACCAAAATTACAAGCAATTTAATAAAAATAGTTAAGAAAATAATTCTGGTTTAAGTGTTAGAGATATATTTTAGAGAGAAACTGTTGACATTTTCGTTGTTTGATATTTTTTTTTTACAATAAATTGAAATCTGAGATTTAACGTACTAAACATTTTATTTACCTGTGAGACAAATTAAATAAAAAATAAAAACAACTGCAAAAGTCACACTTTACATGAAATAAATTTACATAAAATTTGTTTTATATTTATATTAATTATTACACAACTCCTTTAAAGATTTGGAAAAGCACATTTTGTAAGATTTATTAACTGAAGATTGTCTTTTCTTATTCTTTTTTTTTGCAAATGTATGTTGACAAATGTAATTTTAAAAAATAATAAAAAAATAATAGGTAAATTTATAAATATAAGTATATTTTTAACAAACCGATTCTACATAAATGCGAGTAAATTTGAGAAAAAAAATTATACCTATACCCACTTTGCTAGTAACATTATATGTGCCTATCAGTTACATGTAGTTTTTACTATGATTTTAATTTAAACCTTCATTAATGTAAATTATTTTGATTTTTTATAACGCAAGTTGGTCCTGGTGACATTCAACTTGTATAATCGAGGCTCCACTGTAGATAGTAGAGCCTACATTAGAAACTTTTAACTTCCAATATCTATGGCTTTGAAATTTTAAACACAACCAAAAAAGCGCATTTTTTAATCAACTAAATTATTTTGAAAATGGGGGAACTACGAGAAATTGGCGCCAACTTTGAAGTTTTAAATGAAAACCACTAATTTTTTTGTATTTCTATATTTGCTTTTTCATACTGAATAAAACGTACTAAGTTGTTGGTACTTATGTGTCATAGTTTTTGATATACGTCAATTTTTTTTCAAAATTTTTATTTGCAAAGTCTATTCAAAAAATCACACTTTTTGAATATTTTTTAGCATTTGTTAACCAAAGGTTTGAAATATCTTTTAAGGTATTCAAGAATGTCAAAAAAACGACTATAACTCAGTTTCTCTTAATTCCAGTCCAAAGAACATCGATTTTTATAAGAAATTTGTCCTGTAACTAGCAAAAAAACTTGGAAAATTATTTTTCCAAGAGAAGTCAAAATGCAAAATTTATTAAACTTTCATAACTTCGAAATTTTTAGATAGAATTTTTTTAACATTTTTTCCATGTTCCTGGTAGATACCATAAAAATAATAAAACGTCTTTTTTGATTAATAACAACTAAACTTAAGTAACATAACTTATAAATAAGACAACAAATTAACACTTTCTAAATCAAATTTAAAAAATAAACTTTTAATTTATTTTTTTTCCTTGACTTCATATATTTATTAAAAAGTGTCCTTTGTATTCGTGTTTTTTTAAATTCCATTTTAATAATTTTAATAGTTTATTTTTTCATCGAATTTTATTTCAAAAAGAGCCAAATATGTTTTAGTTTTACCGAAAAATTTTTAATTTAAGTAGTTTAATTTGATTTTCAAAAATTTTTAATGTTTCGTAAAATTGAGTTAAATTAAAGATTTTATGAGAAATAGAGGAAATGAAAGAAGTAAAATACTCTTAAGATTATTTCTCTGTATCAACATTTTCTATTTTTTTTTTCTCTGAGACCCGAGTTCTGGTGCATCCTGTATTTTCAAGTTTTCATATTGCTGTATTTCGTATTTTTAACTTTTTATTTCATTTCAGATTTTTTTTTAATTTAATTTTCTGTGATCAAGTCTTTATCATCAGCTAAATCCAAAACATTTTTGTACGATTTCAGAGTTATTTTCTTTCTCAAAATATTTTCTCCGCTTTTGACAATCAAAACATACCAACCGAAAAAGCTCTAAGCTTAAAATGGTCTCAACAAAAGTGATAAAAATTGTGCAAAGACCAACTTTTTTAACAATAAATGAATTTCAAATTCCAATAATTCGTGATTAAAAATCATTAAAATTTGTTAATGTGACACATGTTCAGTAGGAGCACAATACGCATTTACCCGTGACCATAGCACCCCTAAAATAAGACATTTTTCCCCCAAATCCAATCACCCTAAAAGTATAAATTACAAACCAGGGTGTCAATCTCCTCCACCGTCGGCTCTCACCCGAAATTACCTGGTCGCAGTAGGCGTATCAAATGGGAGGAGCTTCAACACGAGAACATCATCACTCCAAGTCATAATATTTGTAGTTAGTTGGTTGGAGTATCTCGTGTCGTAGAGACAAGTTTTTGAAATTTCAAATTTCCCTCCGAAAAAATGTGCTAGTGCCGTTTCGGATTTCGTGCAAAGACTTTTCGGGATAAGTGCGCAATGACTGTTACGGGCAATTTGGGCATTATGCACAGACATTGCTTTGGATACCCATTTCAAGGTACAACATACAAAAAATATACAGGGTGTAGCGATAATGAGGGCTTTTTGCCAGGTCAAGGCCGGGTGAACCAATTAGGTGGCGTCTTCATAAATGGCCGCCCTTTGCCCAACCACATAAGACTGAAAATCGTGGAAATGGCCGCGAATGGAATCCGGCCCTGTGTTATTTCCAGGCAATTGCGGGTGTCCCACGGGTGCGTCAGCAAAATTCTCAATAGGTACCAGGTGAGTGCAGTAAGCTGGACGATTTCGAGAAAATCGAACCATAAACCCAGATGAGTCATTTTGTTTTTATCAAAAGTTAATTACAATTCGAGATATGGGCTGGTTTCATTACCATCACCGACGGATAATAAGCGAAACCTTGGCCTAGACGCGAAGAAAAATATCAAAATCCATAATCAGCTAATTTTATGGATGGTTGGAGTCTCGAGTTCCGCTTAGATAACAATTCTGGAAATATAAAAGTGTCTGTGGTAACTGCACAAAAAAAGAAATTATTTTTTAACGGTTTGTTGAATATTTACCTATCAATTTATTTTCATGACAACATTCACCAAAATTTGTAACATTTCTCTTTTTATTGTTCCGTTGCCTTTTATTCAATCGATTAGTAACGATTCAAGAAACCTTCTCTTAGGGTAATTTAGCCTTTTCGAAGTTTTTCAAGTGTAGATAACAGGTCACTGGACTCGATTTTGTTATTACCAAGTTTTAATGGTTAACTTTTTTATTTGTTGTAATATTTTCTTGAAAAAATTACCATCAGAACAATTGATCTTTCTGCTTTATCAAACAAACTTAAAATTTTGCCTCAAGGTCACAGTTTTTCCAAAAAAAATTAGGAAAATTTGGTGTCAAAGAAACCCCTATTTTAATAGTCCCTGTAATTACGTAGAAAATCAAAGTTATGCTAGCCTGAGGGGTACTTTGACACCTTAGAACTGAAAATATGATGTAAATAAACTTTATTGAACTCATTAAACTCAAAACATAAAATATATATTTTCTTAAAAAATATGAAATAAGTCATTCTTTGGTATGTTACGGCTTTTATATGGCTTAAAAATAAAAAAAAAACAATTTCGGTAGGTACTTATACAGGGTGTTAGCGAAATAAATGCATTCCTTTTAACCAGTGACAGTACACATCAATGGTAACAAAAAACTTTAGTAACATTTTTGCGAAAAGAACAAGAAAAAATTACCCACTATTATTTTTTTTTATTATCCACTATTTTCTAATAAAAAAAATAACCATTAGATAACTGTTATTAGTACTAAACCATCCACCAAATTTGGAACCTATGGGTGTAGCCGTTTTTGAGAAAAAAATCTAAAACTAAATTTTTAGGCTAACTTTAGATGCAGGGGAATTCTTTTTCGAAAAATTTTATATGAAAGACACCCCTCAAAATCACTTGTAGAACACGCTCTTGAAAGGAATGCATTTATTTCGCTAACACCCTATATTGAAAATGAAACAAAATTAGTAGTCCCATAACGTGTCAAAGTAATCCGAGAAGACAAATGGGGTTACATTTTGCGGTAACTAATTTTGTTCTAATTTATTTAATGAGAATTAAAAAATTAATTTGAGTAAACAGTGACATAAAATCTGTGCAAACCCACAAAAACTGAATTAAAACAATAAAAATACCAAACTTCGTCACCTTTCAATTAAATTCTTCTAATTTTGAACAAAAACTGGTGGTCAACAAATTTCGCCGTTACGTAATTTTTCAGAATTTTTGTTGAAAGTTTCAATGTTTATTACAAAACGTTGGTACCGCAAGCAAAAACGAAACCCTAGACCCTAATTCGAATCATAAATCTGTTGGGGTTTATGATGGGTGGGTATAATGGAAGTAAAAGTTTTGTTCGAAAAATTTTGGTTGTAAATAATGGAAAAAAATGGAAAGTGGAAGAGTGGTGTTGACCTAGTTGATGTCCCGTTTTACAAAATAGTTATAAAAAAAATAGTTGATAAAGAGAAATAATCTTAGTTTTTTATTTCTTTTATTTCCTCTATTTCTCATGAAATCTTTAATTTAATTCAATTTTACGAAACATTAAAAATTTTTGAAAATTCAAATTTATCAGTACAACTAAAACACATTTGGCTCTTTGTGAAATAAAATT